GGTCCCCTTGGCCACCACACCAGCCCTGTTGCTCACCATAATAACTGCATCTGCCTGGCTTCTACAGGTAAGTGCCGCCCCCTGGCCTCATCACCATCGGCATCTCTAAGCCAGGTTCTCTCCACACCTGTCCATAAGCCCTGGCCCATAGAGGACGCCCCAGCCAATCTGCTCAGCAATGCTGCTCTCTTTCTCTTTGCTCTTGGCTTTTGTGAAAGGCGGGTACTCTGGGGCTTTTTTAAAATTAGTACATGTTTGCAGCACATGCAGTTTACAGTCATCCTGGGGAGTGGGTCCATGTACACAACACAGCTCCTTTCTTTTTTAATCCTCTTCTCCTTGCTGATCCTTGTCTCCTCTAATTCTCCTTTCCCCTTCTCATTCTTGTTGGTGTGATTAATCGTAGCTTATATCTACAGTATATACAGCTCGTGTTCACTGAAGTCGGTAGGTCCCTGCACATGGCGATCTGTATTCTAACTATTTCCCCCTCTCCTCCCCTCATCCCTGCTCTTAGTCTCTTGGACACTTCCCATCTGCAAGAGATCCACCCCCTTGTCTCCTCCCATCCATCCATTATCGTTTTCTTTGTTCGTACTTTGACTGACTCAAATGAGAGGTACCATATGGTATTTAAGCTTGTGTCTGCTTTGTTTCTCTCAATATTATATTTTTCATTAGAGAAATGCAAATTAAAACAATGCTAAGATTCCGACTTACTCCTGAAAGAATGACCACCACCAAAACAGTAACAAATGCTGGCAAGGCTATGGGAAAAAGGAACTCTGCTACATTACTGGTGGGAGCATGACCTAGTACAACCATTAGGGAAATTAGTATGGAGATTTCCCAAAGCATTAAAATTAGAAATTCCGTATGACCCAGATATGCCCCTCTAGGATCTTTCCCAGAGAGCTTAGGGCATCATACTCTGGGCCTTCTTAAGGACGAGAATCACCTGGTAGGTCTCCCAGGTTTGTGGTGTGTCCACAGCAGCCTGCTTTCTCATTTCTCCCTCCATGCCTGCCGGGTGGTCCTGGCATGTCCACTTCCTCCAGCTTGGCCATCATTTTTTCTACACTTCTCAGAAGCATTTGAGCAGCGAGGGCACATCACCTCCCAGGGTCCTTGCCAGGGCATTCAATCCTGGCTCTCTGGAATGTGTTCCCAAATCAGTAAATGCTCCCTGCCCCAGCTGTTGTGTCTGGGCCCCTTGTTCCACTACTGTGAGGATCCAGTCCCAGATGAGCTCCTGACTCTGTGAGTAAGTGCTGACCAGGACTTGTGGCTCAGCTAGGGTCCGCAGTCCCTTCCTTCCTTTGTCAGACACGGCACGTACTGCTTGGATCACGCTGCAACTAACCCTGGTCAGCGGCCTACAAACTGAAACAGAGGTGCTAGAGAGGCCTGTCATGGGAGTGGAAAGTCTAGGGAGGGAGAGTGTGTTTGACTCTCACGGGCTGGCAAATTCTGCATGTGCGGAGGTTTAGAGGACTCTGGGAGTTCAGGAGTTTAAGGGCCATCCATCCAGGTAGCCACACAAAGTTCCAGGGTCCTGTCACCCCCTCCCGATGTCTCCACTCTCTTTAGACTTCAGCCTGTCTGCGTCCATACACTGGAAAGAGCACAGTGAGCTTTCCTTTACAGAGGGGCAGTTGTGTGAACTGCCTAATTTGCTTGAGAGCCCACAGGAGCCAATAACTAGGGGCTCTCAAGGACCATTTCTCTTCTAAATACTGAAACGAGCACAGATGTTTAATTTAGCTTTGCTACAGTGAGAGGCTACATTATGATGGGGAAAGCATCCTGATTTAAGTTCTAAATAAACTTGTTTGTTCACACTATTAACTTCAAGCTCTATACTGACAAAATTACTTAATTTGAGAAGATAACCTATGTCCATAAATCATTAAGCTTAATCCTTACGCATCTAGGTTTTGTTTTTTAGCCAACTTAATTATGGAATGAATATAAAAACTCCAATTTCAATACAGTACTTCTGTACTCCTAAAAACAACACTTCCAAAGAAGGAGAGAATTTCATAGGCAAGAAAAATTAGGAAAAGATTCTTATAGAATTATAGAGTAGGGGACCTTAGTTGGAAGTGACATAATTCAAATCTCTATTCAAGGCAAAACATCTTCAAAGCCTTCTTTTAAAAGTAGGCGTTCAGCCTCTGTTTAGTTATTTCCAGCAACAAGGAACTCAAATCAATTCCATTTTCAAATATTTGTAATTTTTTGGAAGATTGAATTGACAAGTATCTAACTCACTTAATTCTAACCTATTGGTTCTACTTATACCTTTGGCAAGGAGAAATACAGGAGTAAATCTGATCCCCCTTCCTCCAGTAGCTTTTGCAATAGTTCCCTAGGCCTGCTGTTTGTTTATTCGAACATTCCTCATTCCTGTGGAGTAAAGTCATGAGCGTTACTAATACAAATAACTATCTTTTGTTGGAATGTCTCATTTCTGCCAGTCCGCGGCATGCCTGCTATGATCTCATGTAAACACTGTGATGACCTCGGAAGTCAATATTCCTACCCCCTACATGGATAAGAAGCCTGGATGCTCAGGGAGATTCAACCATGAATCACTCTGTGAGTTGTCTCTTTCTAGATAAATTTTCCCATCAGCGCATCTTTTTTTTATTTTTATTTTTTGGCGTGAAACAAAATTTATTGATACAATAAAACCACACATTAAAAAATTTAAAATTTACAAATCTCTCCAACTGACATTGTCCTTGGAACCAATTTATTTATTTATTTATTATTTATATATTAATTGGTACATTTTAGGCATACGATGCATTTACATTTATCATTGGGTGCTTGTACCTGTACATGATGGATCTTGGTTCTTATTTTTTCCCCATTACCTGTGCACCCTTCACCCCTCCACCCTTCCCTATTGACACAGACTTTGTTTCCATTTTTTTTTTCTTTCTAATAATTTTTCCTTTCCTTTCTTCCCTTTCCCCTTCCTCTTTCACCACCCCTACACCTTTGGACCTTTTCCTATTTCAAATTATCAATTATTCATTTTAATCATTTTCATCCTTATTTACACTATCAGTTTCTCACACTAGAGAAACTTCGGTATTTACAAGTGTGTCCTATTTATTTCACTTAAGAGAATGGCCTCATTATGCATCCATTTAGCTATAAATGACTCTAGTTTCTCATTCTTTATGGCTGAGTAGTACTCCATTTTATAAAAAAAAACACCACATCTTCTTTATCCAGTCTCCAGTTGATGGGCATTTGGGCTGTTCCCAAACCTTAGCTATTACAAACTGTGCTGCTATAAACATAGGTGCACATATATCGCTGTGGTATGATTCTTTTAATTCTTTTGGGAAGATACCCAGCAGAGGAATAGCTGGGTCAAATGGGACCTCTAAGCCTAATTCTCTGAGGTATCTCCATACTGATTTCCACAGTGGTTGCACCAGTCTGTACTCCCACCAGCAATGGAGAAGGGTTCCTTTCTCCCCACACCCCTGCCAGCATTTGTTATTGGTTGATTTCTTGATAGCAGCCATTCTTTCTGGGGTGAGGTGAAATCTCAGTGTTGTTTGCATCTGCAACTCTTGAATGACCAGTGATGTTGAACATTTTTTCATATATTTATTTGCTGTTTTTACTTTTTTGTCTGAGAAATGTCTGTTCATTTCAGATGCCCATTTTTGAATTGGGTCTTTGAATTTGAGGGGGTCTGATTTTTTTCAATTCTTTATGTATTCTAGATAGTAGACCTTTGTCTGAGGTACAGCTGCTAAAAATTTCTTCCCATATTGTAGGTTGTCTCTTAGCTCTGTTGGTAGTGTCTCTTGCAGTGCAGAAGCTTTTTAATAAGATGAGATCCCAGTTGTTGATTCTCTATGCTAGCTCCCATGCTACTGAAGTTTTGTTCGTAAAGTCTTTTCCTATGCCAATGTCATTGAGAGTTCTACCTAACTTATCTTCCAGCAAGTTTACTGTTTCTGTCTTGATATTTAGCTCTTTAATCCACTTCGATCTTAAGCTCTTTAATCCACTTTGATCTTAGTTTAGTGCACGGTGATAGGCATGGGTCTAGTTTTAATCTTTGGCAGGTTAAAATCCAGTTTTTCCAACACCATTTATTGAACAGGCTATCTTTTCTCCAATGAGGGTGGTTGGCTCCTTTGTCAAAGATGAGGTGGCTGAATACATCTGGAGTTGTTTCTCCATCTTCTAATCTATTCCACTGATCTTCGGGTCTGTTTCTTTGCCAGTACCATGCTGTTTTTATCACAGTAGCTTTGTAGTATAGTTTCAAGTTGGGGATTGTGATACTCCCAGCCATGTCTCTGTTGCCTAGCATTGCTTTTGCTATTCTAGGTTTCTTCTGCTTCCAAATGAATTTTTGGATTGTTTTCTCTAGTTTTGTGAAGTATATTGTTGGAATTTTAATCAGTATTGCATTAAACCTATATAGTAGTTTTGGAAGTATGGCCATTTTCACTGTATTGATTCTTCCCACCCAGGAACAAGGGATATCTTTCCATTTTCTTATATCCTCTTCAATCTCCTTCTTCAGAGTGCTGTAGTTTTCAGTGTAGAGGTCTTTTGCTTCCTTTGTTAGGTTGATTCCTAGACATTTCATTTTTTTAGATTCTATTGTAAAAGGAATTATTTCCCGAATTTCTCTCTCAATGGGTCTGCTATTTGTATATAAGAAGACTATTGTTTTTTGAGTGTTGACCTTATATCCAGCTACTCTACTGAATCTGTCAATTAGGTCTAGAAGACTTTTGATTGAGTCTTTTGGGTCTTCTATGTAAAGTATCATATCATCAGCAAATAATGACAGTTTCACTTCTTCCTTTCCTATCTTTATTCCTTTTCTCTCTCTTGTCTAATTGCTATGGCTAATGTTCTCAGAACCAATTTAAATTCAAGTAGTTCACAGGATTTACAAGGCAATTTTTTCAGAAGACTGGAGAGTTTGACCATTATAACCACAATGCTACCTGAGGGAGGGCGCCGTAATTCCATATGTAACCCTTGTGAGGAAAGAGGTTGGCCACGTACCGTGGCTTGCAGTGCTTCATGTCCTGCTTAATGGGGTTCAGAGGCTCCTCCGTGACGACCTCCATTTTAGCGTTCGTCCACTGAGGCACTTCTACGACCCTATGAAGCAAATTCTCATCGTCATCGCTTCGTGCCTTCTTGGTAGGAATGCCACTGTCCTTTTCAGTGCCGACCCTGAGAGGGATGGCATGGAAGGGGGAAATGTAGTGACCAGCTCCATTCCTGAAGAAGACGCGGAAGTCCTCCGCGCAGAACCCGGCCGTGGCGCGGCCCCATCAGTGTATCTTGAAAGCGCTTGGAAACTGGACATGGGTATGTTTTTAGGCAGTGTCGTAGCATTAGACATAACGCATGAGAAAAGAAATCAGGAAAAACGGAAACCTGTTGGGAAGCTGCGCTTCGAAGGTGCTGGGTTTGGATGCTGGGGACAAGCAGCACGGGCTCAGATTGAGGAGGGAGAGGCCGTGGGGACGGGATGAGAAGAGATGTGGATTGGTTACTGAGTCCTTCAGTGTTTATCGAGGGGCTCTGTGAACCAGAGAGTCAGGCTGGGTCCTGAGAGTGGACAGTGAGCAAAGCAGGTCCGTCCTTCGCCCTGGACCACGCGGTCTGGTGGGGAGCGATGCTAGCACAGGAGCGGGCAGGTGCAAATGTTAAGTCATTACACAGGCTGGAGCAGAATAAGCCTGTAAGAAAGTAGTCCGGGCTAGGTTTGAAATAGGAGACCGTGCCCTGCCGCCTTGAGGTCCGTTGGGTATTCTGATGGCAAGAAGCCTGTTTCCTTGTCAGAGGGACCTGCTCCCTGTGGCCAGCTGCTGACTGGCCGGGAGTTAGAATCTGACCTGGAGTCTTGGCTGGTGCAGTCTTGAAGCACCCCCTGGCAACGGGCAAAGGAAGAGGATGGAAGGAAAGAAAGAGTTGGGGAATTGAGGCCTGTGTGGAGGAGGGGCTGTGTGGCCCTTTTCAGGCTGGGAGGGGCGCCCAGAGGCCTGTGCTGACCCCCGCTTTGTGTGTGTCCAGTATAGGTGTGAACCTACTCCCCGGCCCTATGGTGGTAACAGGCCAGGAGCTCCTCCACTGCTGTGTGTGTTTGCAGTTACTCTCCACAGAAACCAGATGAGAGTGGAATCCTGTCTCACAGTTGGAAAACCAGGCACAGAGACCACCTGGTTTGCCCCAGGCTGCACACCTTGTCGGTGGCAGAGAACAGAACCAAGAGTCTGGTTACTCTCCAGTGCCTGGGAGACCTCCAGAGCCCATCCAGGTTTGGCTGAATGTGTGTGTAGCTGAGGTTTTCTTTGCAACGTTTTTGCCTGAGAGCTGATAAGGAAAGCCAGACCCAGGTGATGAGTCAGGCTTCCTACTGCTAGGTGGGTGCAATAGAAAAACCCTAAAATTGCAGTGGCTGAGCACAGTGGGCTCTATTTTTCATGCAGAAGAAATTTCATGAGGTTGACAACTCACTTCCAACTCCCTCTCAAGGATCAGGCCCCCCACCTGTGGCCCTGTGGTCTCAGCGCACGGCCTCTGGTTCGCTGTGTCAGGGAAGAAATGGATGGAGGAGGCCCAGGGGCTTCTTATTTTTTCATGCCCCTCCTACCTAAGTACACCTTCAATGCCCTTTCTCCAAGTAAGGTCTTCCTGAGGTGTAGGACTTCCCGCCATCTTTCAGCACACTGCAGCCCGCAGTGGGGAGAAGATCAGAGAAGAGCTGATCATTGCAGCAACATCAGCAAAGCAAACACGTTGCCAGTTGAGCGCAGCCAGGCCATCTGCACATTCAGTGCAAGGACTTGGGCCTTTGCTGAGAGGATCAGCCACGGTGGTGGGAGAATGTGCCCCTCCTTCTCAGGAGCTGCCAGAAGCACTGGAGCAAAAGTCTGGTTGCGTAAGCTGAGCAAGTCACCATGCTGAGGACAGCATCTCTCACAGCAGCCAGGAGGGGTGTGCGGCTTGCCCTGGGCAGAGGATGGACAGGACGACCCTGTCAGACACCCTTGCATTCTAAGACACCCTTCTTGCCTTCATCTGAGGCTGTACTTTGAGCCCTATCCTGGGTTGCTAAATGGGCCACTTTCCCACCACCAAATGCTCAGGCCCCACAAGTGGCGGTGCCTTTTCAACTGTGGGCAGCTGCTGCCACCTTGTGTCAGAAAGACGCCATGGCTACAGGGACCCCGGAGTCACCTCAGCAAGACACTGCTGAGTGTCAGACAGCACAGGGTGCCTAAGTCAGGACGGTCCCAGGTCCCAGGCTTCATGCTGACACCCGGAAGAGCCAGGGAACACGAGCACGTGCAAGGATTTTTCCAGGGGAATTTGGCAGAGTTTCCCAACCGTCCCACGCTCCTGCATTTAAGTCCTGGAATGAAGCTTTCTGTAGGAGCTTCACTGGCTACCACACAAGTTACACAAGATTATCAGTACATGGGAGAGGTTCGAGCTCCTCTGACAAAGGATACAGAAACTCCAGCTATACAATTAAAAGGAAAAACTTTCTGCATTGCCCATGGACAACACGCATTCCAAATATGCTAAAGGTTTTGCTCTGACTTCAAAAGGTCCAAGGAAAGCCTAATGTGTGTGTGTGTGTGTGTGTGTGTGTGTGTGTGTGTGTGTGTGTTGGTAGTGGTGGTAACAGTTTCAAAATTACTTATTACTCAGATACAGAGAAATAAAAGTGAAATTCTTGTTCCATACATTTTTCGTAGTCTGAATGATCGTTTCTGTTGATAGGAGGGACCAAGTGATTGGCAAGATATTTCAACCTTAATTTCTGTTAAGGAGAATTTAGTCTTTTTCAGATCCTTTAGGTGAAGCAGTCGATTCAAATCTCAAGCTCTGAGCAGCCTGGAGGAGCCTCCTGCCTCGCGTCTTACAGTGTCTGTCGGTGCAGCAGGATTGCTGAGGGACCCTCAGTCCTTCCCGGCCTCCACCCAGGTGGCCTTCATCCTGCTCATGGTGGAGGTGCAGCTGGCCTGATCCCGGTCAGCGGGCCTCACTGTGGCACTGGCCACCGCCCTATGTCCTCCACAGCCCGAGCCTCCTCCTTTGGACGCGAGGTCTCCTCTTGTGTCTTAGCTGCAGCACACCTCCATGCAATGAGCCACGGCTCAGTGCGGCTCGTTCTCCAGGGCTCGTGTGCTGAGGGACTGGTCCCCGTGGTCTTCAATGAGGCGGTGTTGAGAGACAGTGGGAGCTTTGAGAGCGAGGCTTAGTGCAGGCCAGGTCTTTAGGGTGCTGTCCTCAGAGGGACTACGTGGTTTTTGCGGGTTCCAGCTAGTTCGAAGGAGAGTGGGTTGTCAGAATAAGACTGGCCCCTCCTCTGGCCCTAGCTTCCCTTCTCGCCGTGCGATCTCTCCTCTTCTCGTGCACTCCGGCCGTGGTTCCATCTGCCATGCTGTGATGTAGCCAGAAGGGCCTGTCAGATCTGGCGCATGCTCTTTAGACTTCTAGCCTCCTAAACTGTGAGCTAAATGACCCTCTTTCCTCTGTAAAGAACCTAGCTGCAGGTACCTTGGTACAGCAATGGAAGCCAGAAGCACAACGCGTCAGCACACACCAGATGGCGCTCCCCCAGCTGCTGCCCTGTGGCTCCTTGCAGGCTGCTCTCAGCCTGGGGCTCAGTCGCCCTGCTTCCTCTTTCTGGGATCATGCTGGATGGGGCATGCCCCTCAGCAAAGGTTTCTCTGCCAGGATTGTGGTTTTCCCGAGCGCTGCCCGGCTGTGAGGAAGCACTTGCAGCTCTCACACTCCCAGATCCGTCGGGCTGGTTGTTCTATTCGCGCTGCTCTCTCTTGCCCTGAGGTGCCTCTTCCAAGGGCAGAAGAGTCCCTGTGCCCTTTGCCTTTCTGCTCCCCTCTCCCTGCTCTTACTGGGAGCCCCAGAAGGGCCTCTCTCCTTCTCCTAAGGTGAGAACTCCGCTCACGTCATGTTCCGTGTTCCTCTTTCCGCTCTGCGTCAGCTCTCTGAGCCAGGGCTGAGACTCCCCAGGCTTTTATTGAAATTACTTTCTCAGCGTAGCCTCGAACAGCACATCAGACTCTGCTTGTCCTCAATGGCTCCCCTTCCCACGAAGCCATGGCCACCACGGATGGAAAGGAACCACAAGCCAGTCGGTGTCCGGGGGTCAGCAGGTGCATGTCTCAAAAGTGCGGCCCCTCACAGGGAGAATTTCATGTTTAACACATGGCGCCAACTACTGAGTAAGGGAAGAAGAGCAGTTTAACAAGTAAATTGCTCCAATGGACTCCTAAAATTGATTCCAGATGGATTAACTAATTAGACAGTTGAAAAGTTCCTATCAGTTTTTTAAAACTAACAGAAAATAGAGAAGAATCAGTGTCTTATCTTTAAATGAAGAATTTCCTAAGCTTTAAAATCATAGAAGAGCTGGGAGCAGTGGTGGGTGTCTGTAGCTCAGGCACTCAGGAGGCTCAGGCAAGAGGTTCTGGGACAGCCTGGATTACACAGCAAGACAGCCGGGGAGAGAGGGAGAGGGAGAGGGGGAGGAGGGGGGAGAGGGAGCATTAAAAACGGTTTAAAATCTGCCCAACAATATACATACATGAAAACAAAATCCTTGGAAAGCATCTCTGCAGTAGGGGATATTGCACCCATTATAAAACAGAAACTTTATTCACTGCAGATCAAACTGATGCCGTGAGAAAGTGAGTTGTCATTATAAACCCAGGTCTTATTATTTTGGACTTAATCCTAGGGAATAACTTAAAAGAAGGCACCAGTTATAAATGCCTTTAGAACCTTGTCCACATTGTTTGTGATGATCGATCACCTTGCACACCTAATTCTCCCATCAGACAACGAGACACAGCTTTGTTTTTTGTTTTTGTTTTTGTTTTTGTTTTGGTACGGGGGATCGAACTCAGGACCTTGCGCTTGCAAGGCAGGCGGTGGAACCACTGAGCTAAATCCCAACCCCATATGCTTTGTGTTTTGACTTCTGATTCCTGGTGGTCGTCCAGAGTCCGGCACAATAGGAGGTGGCAAATAAATGTGGGAAAACTATTTTGCTGTAGTCTTCTTACTACGTTAAAAGAAAAGACTGCCATTTTCAACCATAGAATGATTAAAATGCAGCAGTCACCTGAAGAGGATAAATTACTTTTAATCATCAAATGTTATGAGACAGGAAACCATCCTATATGAATGTAACAAGGATGACTCAGGCAGATGGTGAATTGTGTCGGAGGTGTAACTTTGAAACATTTTCTCTAAGCAAGACTTTTTCCTTTTCAAGCCCCTTTTGTGCTCAGTGTTCCGCATCTGGTGGGCCCTGCGGTGCCGATTCTGGGTAACGTTCGTTACGAGGGCCCCTGTTCTGCCGCTGTCCCCTCTGCCCACTTCTCGATTTCCCCTCAGGTCACTTCCCCCCTCTGTACCCGCCAGGATCTCCGTCAGCGTCCATCTTCGTTCGTTGATCCGGGAAGGACCGGAGTCGTCTTCCATTCTCTAATAGCAAAGTTCTTCAGGCAGCCTGTCTTTGCTACACTCGTATCATGGCGCCACTCTGGGCTTCAGGGAAATTCTAGACTGTCGTAGGCCTGCACATCCTCTCGGGGTCCCAGAGCCCTGCTGCTCCCGCATGGAGCTGAACGACTCTGTGACACTTGCCACCTGCAAGGCTCCTTTCAGGAAGGGGTCCAGCGTCACCCTCAGGACTGGGGGTCTGGGGGCTCGAAAGTGTCTCCTTCTTCTAGCCCCAGGTGAGCAAGCTTTATCAAGTCTTTGGTGTGAGAAAAAATGGCTCTGACTGTTCACTTGCTTCTAAATGCTTTTGTCTTTGGCCTAGACCTCCATGTTTGAAATTCTTGGCCCACCCTGTCAGAATTTTCTGATTTGATTCTGCTGTAACAACCATCTCCAGAGACAGTCTAGGAAGAGCTAAGATGTGGAATACAACAACACAGGCCAAAACAAAAATGTAAACACATTCATTGATGCATGGAAATGTTTGTTAGTCTAGTGCAAAATGCTAAAATACACAAACAAAACCATAAAACTTATTACTGAGCATTATCCATGTGTATGAATGAAAACAAGGAACTAGGAGAACACTGAGCTGGTGGATGTTAGTAAAAAGAGTGTGGATAATTTTTTTCTTTCGCACATTTCCTTCATGTTAGTTATATGTAGATACCAGCCATGTAGTTTGTGAGAAAAACGTAATCTGTTTTACCTCCGGTAATAGAGCCTTCTAGCCCCTGACTGCACCTGATCTCCCACCAATCCTCGATATTGTTACTGAGCAGGGACTTGATTCACTTGCCAGGGGATATCAAGTTGTCAAGAGGCAAGGTGGTGGGAGAGAAAGAACTATTCCCCTGAGCTGGCTGATCAGAGATGGTTGGACTTTCTGTCCTAAGGGTCCATCTTCTCGGGAGGCTGAGGGCTGATACAGGGCAGGGCACACATCTGGCGGCACCTTCTCCCAGGCTTTGGCCTAATGACACACATCAGATCCTGACCGCTGCGTCACAAGAAACTCTTCCATCCTGCATATTTCAAGAATGAAGATCATTACTTCACCTGGCATTCTTGTCACTGGCGAGGTCGCCCACATGCAGTCCCCCCGACACAACGCACAGGGGAGGGGTGGCTGCCCAAGGCCCCCCTGCTGACCGCCAAACTCAGTAATGAAAGAAAATATTCTTCGCCTGATTACTGTGGAGACCCAGGTCGGTAAGGTTAAATAGGAAGTCTGCACAAGGTCTGGTCTTGGTGCTCGGCTTCAACGTGGCCTTTTCCTGCCAATGAAGCTGGTTTCCTTACCCACCACCTGCGCCTGCCAGCTCTGCCTATGCCTTAGCCAGTGGCTCACAAAGGCTAACTACATCAGAGTCCCCGGAGGCCTTGTTAAAATACAGATGCAGAGCCCCCTCCAGCGTTTCTGACTCAGTGGGTCTGGGGTGGAGCCTGAGAATGTGTATTTCCAACAAAGCTCAGTCAATGCGAGTGCTGCCGGCCCAGGGCCCACAACCTAAGACTCAGCCGCCTCCATTTCCCCTTGTCTTCTTTCGCCTCCCTTCTTTCTCAAGCACGTAATGAAATCTCATATGCTTGGCTGGCATGAGGCACACCTTGAGCAGGCCCTTGGCTGGAATGAATGGATTCATTCGTGTATTTCACTCCACCTATTTCTCAACAAACTCTCAGAACTCTGATTATTTACTCAGCGCCACCCTACCACATGCACAACCTTGTCAGTACTGCATGCATTTGAACGTATTAGTGCATATTATTGTAATTCTATCACACATTTTTTTCTAGCCAGCCCTTTTAAGGCTCAAACAGAGTATCCTCTTTTTCTCTATTTTAAATTTTTATTGGACATATTTGCAGGACATAATGTCTACATTCCTTGCAGGAAGTCGGTACGAGTGAATAACACATCTTGATTCCTTTTCTCATGCCTTTTCCCTCCCCTCCTTCCCTTCTCTGTCTCTTGATCTCCTTCGAGAAAGATCACCCTTCTTCCTATTATCTATCTTTTATTTCAGTCTGTATTTATAATTTGAGTTTCCCATGTTAGAGAAACCATGCAATATTTAAGCTCATGTGTCTGATTTATTCCAGTGAACATGATGGTCTCAAATGTTCCCTTCTTCTCAATAGGCACGGAGCTACCGTTTGCTCGGAGTCCCCGGGGACAGGCATACTGTCTATTAGTAGTGCTGGCTTCAGGACCAGCCCTATCCAGCTGCTTGTCCTGCCTTTCAGGTCTGGGCTTGGCATTTCCTCTCCCTCAGCCCCTGCTCCACACTTTTTCTGCTCCCCTTTTATTGGGAGAGTTCCCCAGTGTTGTTCTCATCAAAACCAGCTCCCAAGACAGCTGTGCAGAAATAGGAATTGTCATGAAAAATAGATTTTATTATAAAAATAATAAAATTTCAGTTATTTATACAGGAAAGCTCATGAGCCGCGCTGCACAGCTGCCAACCCAGGGTGTCACTGTTCCCCCGAGTGACAGCCACTCTTCTGTGGTCCCAAGTGTTCTTCTATCTTGCTTTACCCATACCTATGGGTGCCCATCACGAGTAATTTACTAACCAAAGGAGGCTTCATAGGTAAATTTATCCAGTTTTTGCATTTCTCAAAATATCTTTAGAAATAAAACAGTTAACAAGTTTGATCTAATAGACATGTACTTAGTATTACAGTTAACTAAACAAAAGCCACTCTTTTTTTAAAAAAAAAAGTACACAAAAATATTTCAAGAACTGACCACCTTACAGAACTCACTTGTATAAACGAACTTTTGCCAGAGCTAATGAATCAGCATGAAATAGAACTTGTTATGTAATCCTAAGAGAATGTTAAAATTCAATAACAAAAATATACGTATTTTTTAGAAGCTTTATATTTTGAAATGTTAAGAGACTTCTAATATCTCAAAAGCTAAGACAAAAATAGTATGAATTACAACAGTAACTGTGCTAAATTCCAAAACTAGTGTAGAAATTTGAGGGAAATTTATAAATTTAAATTACTGGTTTTTAAAAGAGGAGAAAAGCTGAACATTAATTAATTAAATTGGATTAAATATCTCAATAAAGATGTTAGAAAAAGAATCACAGCAAAAACCCAAAAGAGGGAGATGAATGAAAACATAAGAGAAGAACAACACTTAGAAAATAAAAAAGAAATACAAAATAGAGAGACTAAAGCTTTGACAAGATCACTTAAGCAAGCAAAACAAAGGTACCCACAAACAACCCCAGGAACACGAAAGGGGCTAACTCCGAGATCAAAAGTAATAAAGCAATGTTATGAGTAACTTAAGCTTATAAAGTTGTATTCATCGGTGAAATTAACGAATTCCCAGGAAAAAACAGGTAATGATCACTGTTACTTAAAATAGAAAGCCAGAATGATTTTATGACTAAAGAACTGAATCATAAAGAAAACACTGG